AATTGGAATAGATTGTCTCTACCTCAATTTGATATAATCCATCTATAAAAACCAACAGCAAACATCATACTAAATGGTCAAAAACTGAAATCCTCCACATTAAAATCAGAAACAAGACAAGGATGTCCACTCTCACCACTACTGTTCAATGTAATTCCTGAAACATTAGCACAGCAATTAGAGAACAGAAAGAAATAAAAGGAATAAAGATAGGAAATGAAGAAGTTGAATAGCCATTATTTGCAGATGACATGATACTCTGTGTTGAAGAACCTCAGGTTTCCACCAAGAGTCTTCTAGACTTAACCAAATTTGGGAATGTAGATGGATACAAGGTTAACACACACCAATCAATAACTTCCCTGTACATGAAACATAGACTCACTGAGAGAGAAATGGAGCCATCAATTCCTTTCACAATAGCATCCAATAAATGAAATACCTAGAAATCAACCTCATGAAAGAAATCAAAGACCTCTACTCTGAAAACCATAGCACTCTGAAGAAAGAGATTGAAGGGGATATCAGAAAATGGAAGGACATAAGGTAAAAGGATAAAAAAATGAGAAAATGAAAAAGTGGAAGTAAAGTATTTGTAAATAAGGAAGGGAGGAGGGGCTGAAGGGAGGGCAGGGATAAGGAGAAAAAAGGAGAACCAAGACCTGTCATGTGAAAGTACAAGATCCCAATGATGAATGTAACTATACTGTATACTTAAAAAGTACCCCTAAATTCAATGAGAAAAAAAAGAAAATGGAAAGACATCTGTTGCTCCTGGGTAGGAAGTATCTGCATAGTGAAAATGGCCATGCTTCCAAAACTGCTATACAGATTCAAAGCAATCCCAAATGAAACCCTAGCAGCATACTTCACAGACCTGTGAAAATATAATAGATGAATGTTCATAGCAACTTCATTTATACGCCCTACAGCAAGCCGTCTTCACGGCAATAAGTGAAGGGATAAACACATGTCTCTAGATCTGTACATACGGCCTACTCCTGACCACTAAAAGGGAATAAAAACTGGACATGTGCCATGCTGTGGGTGGCTATTGACACAGAGGTAATGACAATGACAAACAGGACCACAGTTTTACAGAATTCTATTCACACAACATTTCGGGTCATGCAAAATAATCAAAAGTGACAGACAGCAGACCAGTGATTGCCTGGGCCTGGGGAACAAAGAGGAGTAGGAGGTAGGGATTACCAAGGGACACAGGAAATTCATAAGGGAGGCAGACAGTGCTTGTGCTGATGGAGTCATGGTTTTGTCTGCCAAAACTTATAAGGTGTATTAAAAACATACAGAGAATGGGCCAGGGATTTAGCTCAGTGGCTTCGCCACCTGCCTCACAAGCACAAGGCACTGAGTTGGATCTCCAGTACCAAAACAACAACAAAAACCCAACCAACCAAACAACAAACAAACAAAGCAAAACAAACAACATACAGAGAATATTTATGTTTTTTAAAAAATGTATTGCCGTACAAGGCACATTGGCATTAATCTCCCTCAGAATAGTCCTCTTCACCTCAAACACATCCAGTCGTTTTGCCACTTTCTGGAGCAGCTCTGGAAGTTCTCCTTAGTCAGTGACTACAAAATATGATTAAACTTTGGTGGCTGCTCCTGCTAGGTGACATCTAACAGGAAGGCAGGCTCCAGATTCCACACCACGTGATTTGTGACTTTTCCCCAAAGTTCACATGACCACGAAGGGTAAACATTTTGACTCAGTTCAGGACGTGAAGCCAGTTACTCAATGGCTCAACTAAAGGCGCTCATGGGAGAGGACTCCAGACCTGCTTCAGACAGTGGCAGCAACAGTGGAACAGGAGTGCTGGAAGTGAAGGGGAGTATTTTCAGGGAGACTGATTAGTGCAATATGTTTTTACTATCAAAGTTTTTTATAATTTTTAGAATTGAAACAGTCATGGATTTTCCAATCATGTGTATACTGAAATATGCACTGGATTATGCTTATTTTACCTCAGTAAAATGTTAGCCAAATAAAGGAAGCTGGCAAATGTGCCTTGGAAGTGAGTAAAAGGTTGCACACTGAGAAGCAGGACATACAAGAGTAGTTGGAGCCAGCAGCAAAGACCAGCCACCGGAGCATGGTACAGCAGCTGCCGCCACTGCAGGATGAGTGGGTCTCTCATTAGAGGCTCAGGGTGCCAGGAGAGGGTCTTCTAAGACTCAGCTGTGCCACGTCTACCCCTGGTGGTGCCCTCACTTCCACAGTGGAGAGTGAACAGCAGGACGAGCCCCTGCACAACTTCACAGGACGCGAGGAAGGTGAGTCCTGAGAGCAAGTGAGGAGAGTGTTTGGAAGGGAAACGTAGGCAGAAGGGAGAAACAACTGACTTGCCCACTCTAGACAGCTGTCCGGTTTTGTTGTTTTGCATGTTTTCATCCTTTCCAAAGTCTGAGTGGTGGAGAATCTACTTAAAACATCCACTTTTCCACTTCATCAATGAGGTCCTCACATTCTTTATTGTTTGCCAAAATTTTATTTTATACAGAATTTCTGTTGGGCCAGGGATGTAGCTCAGCGATTCTGCTGCCTGCCTTGCAAGCACAAGGCCCAGAGTTCGATCCCCGGCACACACAAAAAACCAAAAAACAGAATTCCTGTTATGATGTGACACATCCTTCTGTTTGTGATCGTGTGTGTGTGTGTATGTGTGTGTGTGTATTGGCTAAATATCTTTCTCTAAACAAATTAATAAAGCCTGTGAGTCTCAGATTTGGGTGCTTGCTGTTCACTGCTTCCTAGTGAAGTAAAAATGTCTGTGTTCCTGTTCTTTTAAACCCAATAGCACTCTTTATTCATTTGAATTTAATAGCAAATGTTTGGCACCTGTTGTGGACCTTAGCATCTCAGCTCCATTGTTACGCTCCAAGCTAAGACACCTCATATAAAACAGAGATGCGACGCTCTTTCCTGCCTGGCAAACATTCACCTACGCATTGTCCATGTCCTCCTGCAGGAGCAGAATGTAGGTCCGTGAGAGGAGCCCGAGAGGTCAGCAGGCTGCACGAGGAGAAGCCGTTTCTTAAGGGGCCACTCCCACCTCTCACGCATCGTCACCCAGAAGATTCACTTCTCTGTGTCTTAATTTCCCAACTACGGAGAAAGAAGAAATTGTTTCTTTTGTGAACACAGGAACGAAGATTCAATGACTGGATTTAACGACCTCATTTAATTTCCTACCTCCCTGTATCACTAAATACACGGTAATTTGGAAGTAGAAAGTGTGTTGCCTCAAGGCTGCCAGTGAACACGGACCTACATTACAATGAGCCAGTGCGTGCAGGGTCACTGCCGCGGAAATTCTTGTGGACGTCACTTCAGATCTACTTCGTGGTATTTTAGGAAAGGAGATGAAGACAACTTCAAGTTGAATTACTCAGCTGCCTTGAAAGTGGTGGAAAAGCAAAAGAGAATCAATTGCTTAAGGGTCAGCACCACGGCCCTTTGACTTAATCAGAGAAACTCTTTATGAATATTTGACATAACGTCACTTCCTTGCATCTAATGAGTTATGGGGCCAAGAAAATTAGCATGGACTTTACATTCTAATGCCAGCTTTTTCCCTAATTACATGTGTCACTTTGCCTATAGGTCTTAAGTCTTTCTTTCTGTGCCTCAGTTTCTTCACAGAAAGGACGGGGAAGAACAGAGAAGTTGTAAAGTGATGTGGTGGCCACTGCTCACTGCGGGCCTGCTGTCTGCTGGCATCACTGATGGCGCATGGGACCCTTTCCCAGGAACTCATTTACTTCTCCAGGAACTTTTCATCCAGCATATCCTATGATTAGATTTTACTTGGTTTTACTGAATGCTTACTACTTGTCAGGAACAGTTGTAAATGGTTACCCCTATTAATTCATTTAATTATGATACAGTTCTATGAGAGACACACAATTAACACATCTATTTTATAGATAAGGAAAATGAGACTCCCCAAACTCATAGACAGCAAAGCAGGTTGCAAATCAAGCAGTGCGTGACTTTCTCCACTTTGTCACTTTTCCTTTGAGTTCTCTAGAGTCTACTTCCAACAAACAGTACAGTTAGCACTAGAAGAGGGCTGCAAACATTGGTAGTAATAGGTTTGTTATGCCCAAGTCGTGAAGGCCCCCAAAACCACCAAGGAGTCGGGGCCGATGCAATTACAAGAGGAGTTTATTGCAAGCTCGAGCCTGGACCCTCGGGTGTCACCGTCGCAGCAGCTTCATACTGAGAGCCCAGACCCATCTTTGAAGCAGGATTGTATAGGGTTAGGGAAACTCTTCCTTTTTATAGGTCCTATTTTTAGCTCTCACTCACTATTGGATATTTGAGGGGTACTTGGAGGGCACTTACTGGAAAACTGCTAATGCCTATGTTCACAGAATCAATTCCTCTTTTTAAAGAACATCTGATTAAACAAATTCTATAATTAACAAAGACTACCTATGTAAGCTGTGACTAGTACCTATGTTGGCTAAATCAGTTTCATCAGTCCTCCTTTTAAAAAACATTGATTATTTTAAGCAGGAAGAATTCATCTTTAGATCATAAAAAGAGGAACAGAAACACAGGGAGACATACAGAATGGAATTATACAGAATGGAATTTTTGCAGCTCTGTTCTGGGCAAGGGGCACAGAGGGAGCCCACCTTGACCTGACAACTTGGTCCTTACAGGTTCCCTCTGGTTTTGGGAGGTTTGTTTTGTTCTGGTTTTTTGTTCTTTCACAGCTTTATTCCTCATCCCAAGCCCACGGCTTGACATAGGATGGACAGTGAATAAACATCAACTGAGTAAATAAATGCTGTCATCAAATAGCCAGTGTCACCATGCCTTAGACAGATGCATCAAAAACATTTTATTTTTATGCCCTAAGAGTTCTCCATCTGTGTTACCATTTTCCAGGCAGCATCTAATTTGGTTTTTGCTCTGGAATTGTAGCTCAGCTCCTCAACGGCTGGTGTTCTTTCTCTTGGTAATGATTTGTTTGGACCCCAACATCCGAGCCCTACCTCAGGCCGTCCTTGGCTAGGGCTGGTCATGATGCTTTGCACGGCCTGACTTTTGCCACGCAAGAGAAGCAGCCTGAGAGGAGAGCGGCCTGTTTCTGCTCTGGGAAGTGCTGTGACTGTCCAAGAGCAGAGGCTCCTGTGTATAATTGGTGGGGAACTGCAGTCACCTAGGTGGTTATTTATATAAAAAAAGGAAACAGAAAAGAAGTCATCTTGGGAATATTTTGAGGGAATTTTGTAGTGAGTCACTGAACAGACCTTACCTGTGACACACGCACTGGCAAGCCAGGGAGCTGTGTTTATAGTAGAGTGTAAAGAATCGGAGTCAAGATCACCCAAAAGCAGTGATCTTTCCTTAATTCGTATGCTCTACCAGAATAAACTAGCATCTACTTGAATCATGAGTGATGACATAGAAGCTAAGATGAACCAAGCGTGCACTCTGGAGACGTGTGATCATTCAGCGATAATTCCCACAAATACGGACAAGCTATCTTCAGAGTCAGTAGCCTTGGTAGGTTCCAGGCGTCCACATCTGATGGCCGTGAGTTGTGGAACTGTATCTCCCCAAAAGCCAGAGAGAAGGTTTTGAGTAGCTTCAAATAATGGAAACCATAGCACTCTGACACCCACTGCAGGGTGTCAGCAAACAAGCAGGGCAGAAAGGCAACGGAGCCATACTCACATAGGGCCAGAAGCAGGAGGCCCAGAGTTATACAGAGGCGAAGAGCCCAGTGGGAACTCTCAGCGGACACTCATTGTGCTGAAGCCACCAGCTTCCTCTCTGGGGCCCTTTGCAGCTGGGACGTCTTCTCCTGGGACATCATTCTGGTTGCCTCCCTCCACAGATGAGTCTGCACAGCTCTGGGAAGCAAGCATTGCATGGATATATCGAGTTGAGTAAAGCAGACTAGAATGAGATGGAGGCATGGAATTATGTTAAGAAGTCAGGATTTATTTTAATTAAAACTAGCCAATATTGGGATACACGGTAGAATGGAGAAAGGAGAGAGTTGCTATTTAAATGCCACTCGAAAGCGGGGGCCACAGGCAAGGGCCATGCTAAATAGATGTCAGCTGCTCACCCAGCAGGACGGTTCCTGTTTGGTGGAGCACTGGTGTTTGACAGCACCCAAGCAGAATGGTGAATTCTGCCTCCTCCCTCCCAGCAGTCCCAGGGCCCACAGGCACTCTCATTCCAGTTTACAGTAATCCAGAGTGCCTTCTTCTCAGACATGCCCAACTCCAAAGAGGCCCACGCTTCCAAACCATGCCTGTCTGTCTGCTGTGGACTGCACTGTGTCAGTCACTGGTTTAGATGAAGCCTTGAGGGTGGGGCCTGCATGGGGGATTCATCTCCTAGTAAGAAGAGACACTAGGGAGAAAACACACACACACACACACACACACACACACACACACACACACTCACACGCACTGTGAACCAAGGAGAGGTCAAGTGGAACATACAGAAGGCAGCTGTCTGTATCCCAGAGAAAGAACCCTCGCAGAGGCCTGACCCTTCCAGCCCTTTGATTACAGATTTTTGCCTCCCGAACTACAAGAAGAACATTTCTGCCATTTGTGCTGTTTCATCATAGCAACCCAGGCTGACTGAGACACACGCTTTCTCAAAGTGTGTCACTCACATTCGCCCTGCCACTGAAGTGGTGCATGGTGCAAAACACATTTCCTTTTCAGTTAGGGGTCCAATGATCCAGGTTCTGCCAGGAGTGCGTCAGTAGACTTAGCCAGCTCTTCCTCTCTCCACAAGATGGGGACTCAGACAGACGATCCGGAGAAGAGCAGACTCTCCCTTCTGACAGAGCGTGGATCCCTTTCAAGAGCTGCTATTTGCCAAATGAGTGCGTTTGGTGTGAGGGCTGTGGGCAATGTTCTGAGAAAGCCATGTGTCCAGGATCTGTGAAGCAGGCCATGGCATATCTCCACCAGTAATGATGATGAACAAGGGCTGGCAAATTAACCCTGTGCTTCCGCAGTTGTTACCCCTGGGGAGGAAGGCAGCCCTGGAGGTGTCCTCGAGTTCCAGCAGTAGTACAAAAAGTTTACTTGCTGGCTGGGGATGTAGCTCAGTGGCACCACTCCTGCCTCACAAGCATAAGGTCCTGAGTTCAATCCCCAGTACCAACAGAACAAAACAGAATAGGCATATAGCTTGCTTGCATCTGCCCCCCTACTCTAAGAGCTGAATGGCCAAGGGCACCCGTGTGGGCATGGGAATGCACTGCCCATACCTCCTGCTCACCTGAGCTGGTGCTCCCTGCCCTGCTGAGGAAGAGCCAAGCTCCTTGGGGAGCACTGCACAGCAGGGAGTACGGCCCGCTGCCCCTAGGTGTGGTTATCACTGTCACAACCACCACTTCTTCGAGGTTTCCTGTGGGCCAAGAAGTCAGTTCCACAGAGCCTGAAAGACAGATGTCATCCCAGACCTCAGATCCATCCCCAAAGCTGTATCCGAGGGTATTATGAAAATTATCCTAAGACATCTCAGAAAATGGCTTCATACCCTGTTCTAGGGTCCTATGCTCTGTCACATCAGTCCCTGTCAAAAATGTAAACGGAATACAATAGCCACATTGTACCTAAGAAAGGAGACATTTCCCCCAAAGCAGTAGGTAAAGGAAGGCAATTTAAATGACATCGCTTTTAACTTTTCTCACCTTTGCCCAAGCTACTTTGTCCTTGTTCGTCTAAATTCTAACAGGATGAAGCTATTGTAAAAGGAACTCTGAAATCCATGACAAATGTGAATGACTAAGAAAGATGAAGGATGCCTTGAAGAGTTATTTGGACCAAAAATAACTTCAGTAATTCTAAGACCTTCCGAGGAAGTAATGAAAATTCACCCAGGGAGCACTCTATTCACAGGAATAGGTACTTGGCTTGTAAAACATGCAGAATCTCCAGGGGAATTTGGAAAGTGTTTGAAGTAATAGCATAGAAGAATGACCAGAGTTGGATATGGGAGCATGTTTCAATGTTAAATTGCCAAATATTTGTTAAACCTATGACTCTGCTCGCTAGAAAGAAAAATTCTCTATCCAGGAAAACAATGCCTCTTTAAATATTAATTCTAGAATTACATTCTTTAGGAGTCAGTCTTAAATGTGGGAAGTAACCATATGTCATATTGACTTAAAGAAACTTTCTGAAGCAGGGGTGGTTTTATTCCCCAGAGAGTACTGGGTAACATCTAGACACATAACTGATTGTCACCGTATGGGCTGAACGCTACTAGACCCTAGCAGACAGGTGCCGAAGAGCTGTGTATTGCCACTTAGCATGCACCCACACCAAAAAGTCATACAGCCCAAAAAGTTAACAGTGCCCAGGTGAGAAACTTTAACTTAATGCACTTGTGAAAGGTGATGACAAAGATACTAAATCAAAACATTCAAATCCCAGAAATAGGCATTTTCAACAGGTAATGGAAATAAAATTGACCATACGAAGGGCCTTTCATCTCAGTGCTGTCATTAGGTCCATACATTGGATTTAGATTTATAACACATAGCAGTCTGAGAAGCCTGGCAGATCTCATGTAGACTGTGAACAGGAGAGAGAGTGGGGAATTCAATATCCTGATGGAGTTGCCCACTCTTAGGTACAAGAACTATGTGCTCCTGGGTTGATGGAAAGTTGTGAATTTAAAAATTCAAATGAAAAAGCACATTAATAGCACACCTCTGAAGTTTTCGTTGGTCAAAATATTGGGCTGAGGAGAAGAAGCTACCTCTGATGCAGTTTGGAGGGTAAAGTTTTGGAGTGCCCACATCTCTTGCAAACTCATGTGCTAAATGAGTGCTTATTAGAGGCCTACTAGGGGTCAAGCCTTGGGCTGCCACTGAGCACACAGTGAGTGCTCTTCCTACCATGACGAGATGGACCTCATACTGAAGGTGAGAAGATAAACAGTCTACAGAGTTATCACAAGGAAAATCACTACTGTGAATGTGGGGCTTAAGTCGGGGGACTGTAACACACTCTGAGATGCACTGGGGGCTTCTCAGGAGATGACTGAAAGGATTCAAGGAATTTTCCAGGTGAGGAATCCGAATAGAGAAGTGGCTCATACAAAATGTTTTTAGTGTTCTTTTTACCCTGAAGGAGTTCTAAGATTCACGGAAAGCAAAATAGGCAATATGAGGTGAAAAGAAAAGTTTCTTCACTCTTTCCTACTTTCTCAAGTCCTTTTACCAAGTATTTCTGATTCTGGAACCCATTGTTTATAATGCTTCTTCTTTAAAAAAAATTAATTAATTTTCTTGGTACATTTAAGGTATACAATGTAATGACATTCATCATTGGAAATTTACACCTTTACATAATCCATCTTGGTTCTTATTTTTTTCCCATTCCCCTGCCCTCCTTTCAACTCCTCCACCCCTCCCTAACTACAAAGACTTTGTTTCCATTTTTTCTTTTTCTCATGTTAATTCCATTCCCATCTTTTTGTCCCCTACACCTCCCATTTCCCCTTCCCCTTTGCACCTTTTGTTCCTATTTCACATTATCTATGATAACTTTTAGTCCTTATTTATACTTACAGCTTCTCACACTGGAGAAACTATTCATTATTTACACATGTGACCTATTTATTTCTCTTGAGTATTAGCTCAGTGTGCATCCATTTAGCTATAAATGTCTCTAGTTTCTCATTCTTTATGGCTGAGTACTACACCATTTTATTTTTTAAAAACCACACACACACACACACACACACACACACATTTTCTTTATCCAGTCTCCTGTTGATGGGCAATTAGGCTGCTTCCAGGTTTTAACTATCACAAATTGTGCTGTTATGAACACAGGTGCACATATGTCACTGTGGTATGATTCTATTAATTCTTTGCAGAAGATATTCACCAGGGGAATAACTGGGTCAAATGGTACCTCCAATCCCAGTTCTTTGAGGTACCTCCATACTGATTTCCACAGTGGTTGCACCAGTCTACACTCTTGCTAGCAGTGGAACAGGGTTCCTCTTTCCCCACAGCCCTGCCAGCATTTGTCATTGATTGGTTTCGTAATAGCAGCCATTCTTTCTGGGGTGAGGTGGAATCTGAGTGTTGTTTTCATTTGCATCTCTCCAATGACCAGTGATGTTCAACATTTTTTCATATGGTTATTTGCTATTTCCACTTCTTTGTCTGAGAAATGTCTGTTCATTTCAGATGCCCATTTTTGAATTGGGTCTTTAAATTTGGAAGGTCAGTTTTTTTTATTTTGGTTCTTTATATATTCTAGAGAATAGGCCTTTGTCTGAGAAACAACTGGTGAAATTTTTTTCCCATATTGTGGGTTGTCTCTTCACACTGTTGGTTGTTTTCTTGCTGGCCAGGAGCTTTTTAATAGGAAGAGATCCCACTTGTTGATTGCTTCTGCTAGTTCATGGGCAACTGAGGTTTTCTTCATAAAAACTTTTCCTACACCAGTGTCTCTAAGAGTTCTACCTAACCTAATGTTTCTGCTTTACGTTTTGATCTTTAATCCATTTTGATTTTAGTTTAGTGCATGGTGAGAGATAGAGGTCTAGTTTCAATCTTTGGCAAGTTGAAACCCAGTTTTTCCAGCACCATTTATTAAAGAGGCTATACAATGAGGGTGTTTGGCTCCTTTGTCAAAGATGAAGTGGCTGTGTGTGTCTGGAGTTGTTTCTGCATCTTCTAATCTGTTCCACTGGTCCTCAGGTCTGTTTTTTTTCAGTACCATGTAGTTTTGATCACAGTAATTTTGTAGTATAGTTTCAGGTTGGGGATTGTGATACCCCTGCCTTGTCTTTATTACCTAGAATTGCTTTTGCTATTCTATGTCTCTTCTTGTTCCAAATGAATTTTGGGATTGTTTTCTCAAGGTCTGTGAAGTATGCTGCTGGGGTTTCATTTGGGATTGCATTGAATCTGTATAGCAGTTTTGGAAGCATGGCCATTTCACTATGCAGATACTTCCTACCCAGGAGCAAGGAATGTCTTTCCATTTTCTGATATCTTCTTTAATCTCTTTTTTCAGAGTGCTATAGTTTTCAGAGTAGAGGTCTTTGATTTCTTTCGGTAGGTATATTTCTAGGTATTTCAATTTTTTGGATGCTATTGTGAAAAGAATTGTTTGTCCCTTTCTCTCTCAGTAAATTTTTCATATACAGGAAAGCTATTGATTGTGTGTGTGTGTGTGTGTGTGTGTGTGTTGAACTTGTATCCAGCTACTTTGCTGAATTTAGTTATTAAGTGTGGAAGACTTTTGGTGGAGTTCTTGGGGTCTTCTAAGTAGAGTACCATGTCATCTGCAAATAATGACAATTTGACTCCTACATTTCATGACTTCGTTCCTTTATTTCTTGCTCTTGTCTAATTGTAAACATCTGTTAAGTACATTTGTTCAAGAGTTTGATTGAGTTCTAGTATTTCAGCATTTATTTTCTGTCTAGTTGATCCCTTTGTAAAAGTGGGATATTAAAGTCACCCATTACTATTTTGTTAATGCTTATTTGATTTTTCATGTCTATTAGTATTTGTTTCATACAGTTAGTCGCACTAGTATTTGGTGCATATATATTTATTATTGTCATCTCCTCCTCTTGGATTGTTCCCTTTACAAAGATGTAGTGTCCTTCTTTGTCTCTCTTAATCAGTGTTGGTTTGAAATCCACTTGATCTACAAAGAGGATAGCTACCCCTGGTTTTTCGGGGGTTTCTGTCACAGGGACAGAAGATTGTTTTCTGCCCTTTAACTTTCAGTCTATGAGTTTATTTCGAATTAAGTGTGTTTCTTGTCTGTAGCATATTGTTGAATCTTGCTTCTTGACCCATTCTGTCAATCTATTTCTTCTGACTGGTGAATTGAGATCATTAACATTAATAGTTACAACTAATATGTATTGACTTGTCCTTGTAATGACTTTTTCTTTTTTTTGGATTCTCCCTCTTTACATTTAATTTCTTGTCATGCTTGATGGATTCATTCTGCTGGGCTTTCTGAGGTTGTCATTTCCTAGGATATTGCTTAAAATTTTTTGGCATGCTGGTTTGATATTTATGAAGTTCCTAAGGTGATCTTTGTCATGAAAGTATCTTATTTCTCCATCAATTTTGAAAGATAGTTTTGCAGGGTACATTAATCTGAGTTGGAGGCTGTTTTCCTTTAGGTCTTGAAATACATCACTCCAAGATATCCTTGCCTTGTGGGTTTGCGTTACAAAGTCTGCCCTGATTTTGATAGGCTTTCCTTTGTATGTGATTTGTTTCTTTTCTCTAAGTGCCAGTAGAATTTTGATCTGTTGGATTTCTGGAATCCTAACCATTATATGCCTGTGTGTAAATTTTTTTTAAAATCACAGCTTTTTGGAGTGCTATATGCCTCAATTATCTATATTTCAAAATGTTTTCCCCTATTTGGGAAGT